AGATACATCGTGATAATATGCTCTCGAAAATTGCTTACTATTAAGCACTAGAGAAGTTTTTATATGGAAATATATCTCCGGGTAATGATTGAAATGGTATTCTGAATGTTGTAGTATACAAGTGGGACCCCCCTATTGTTAACGGATGGCTCCTCGTGTTAAGGGGTGTGGGTTGCCCCCCTCCCATCTGGAGTCAGATTAAGCATATCTTTATCTCAACCCTTTTTTTCTTTTTCTCCGTTGCATCAATGTTCAGTGTCCACCACCGCCGGTGGGGTCTCAGGGGGTGGTGGAGCTTACAGGATTCTCCCGGGGATCCCAGCACAAGGCAGTGTACAAGGTACCTAGCCGTTGGGGGGAAGGGGGGAGGTGATTGCTTGGTTTTCGTACTTTCGGGATTGAGTTGGGTTTTAAATAGCCGCTTCGCGTCCGGGCTTCTTCCTCTTCGGGTCCGTTTGGTGCTTTCTTAGAAGGGCAAGCGGCGTAGATTCTCCCTTCACGTGGAGATACCATGTACAAAGTACAAGATCAGCAATTTACATGGTTATCCTGCAATGTATAACTATATTTTGTGCATAAACTCTTGCTTTTTCTTTCAATACGAACGCCCATAAATCTCTGTGGTGGAATATGACGTGCTCTACTTCGTATACGACAAACCCTAATGAAATTATATATATCCAAGAGAGCCAATTATTCTTCAACCTCCTCTAATAGAATACGTACTACATAAGAGGATATAAAATCTGATTCGTTTTCATCCCTAGCAGAATGTCATACAGCTTTCATACAGTCAACCTTATCTCAGCCATATGGAACTGGTGGAGTAGTGGATTTGCTCCATACACCATACTCCATACTCTCCGTCATATCACATAGCAGATGGGGCACTGGGGCAGGCTCCATATGACACTGTCAGATCGATCCATATTTATGGAGCCAGATCTATGTTGTGCTTTCTGACATGCAGGTGGCGAATGCTTACATTCTTTTAGGTGGATTCATATCTGGTCATTTCTACTATTTACAGATAAACGTCGCTGCATCAGGATGGAGATTTTTGTTCTTACCTACATTGAATCCATAGTTCCAGGGCTCTTTCATTGATAGTATCTGGTGTCTGTCTGTTCCTAGGAGAAGATTGAAGGTATCAAACAAAGGCGTACAAAAACAATATCTTGGAAATGTAATAACATGCGACAGGCCTCCAAAAAGTGTCTGATCCGTTGTATAATATTAAGTTATGTAGTACCAACACAAATATCAAATCTTAAACCCCAAACTAATACAATGACTTCTCCACAACATTGGAGATCTAGATAGGATTATCTGGATTATCCGTCTTGGACAAGGCAGTTGTCTCAGTCTCTCGGGGCTCAGGCTCAAATCCCTCACTAACAATCGGCTCCTGCTCAATTGCATGAATAGCATGCTCGACATTGACCACAGGACCTTTGAACCAGCGGTGAGCATCAATAAACCACCAAATCGTAACCGCCACCATCGGCGCACCCCAAACAAGGCAAGTCCAATTCATCTGATCCGGCGTCAAGTCTTTACCAGTAACACTAGGCAAACACAAAATCGGGACCATAAAAAGCACAAATACAACACCAACTCCGCCAATGAACGGACCAAAAGGACCCAGATGCCAGGGGCCCCTACGGAACCGATTACCAACAAAGAATACCCGAATAGTGATAGGAATCGCAAAAGCAAAGAACTGCGCAATAGCGCCAATCGAAAACAAAGCGCCAATCGCCACGTCTCCAGCCAGAATAAGAAGACACATCAAGATTCCGAGGATGGCGTTCAGCACAACCGCATTAATGGGCGTCTGCGTATACGGATGCACCTGCTTCCAGTAATCCGAGAACGGAAAGCAGTCGTCACGAGCATAGGCATATGTAACCCGCGACGCGGCAACCATACACCCCTGCCCCATCGAAAACCCACAGATAATCGTCAAAGCCAAGATAGCCATAGCCGACTTCTGCGGCATGACCTGCAGCAAATACGACGCCCAGGGCTGTCCCAGGTCGGAATCGATGACGGCCTCGATATCAAGCACCGTGTATGCAACAACTAGTTGTAAGAACCAGCCCATTAGCCCGCCCACGCCGGAAGTTAGCACGATTGCGCGCGGCGAGGCTATGTTAGCGTTCGAGCACTCCTCACTCAAATGAAACGGCGAGTCGTAGCCGGACATGGTCCAGATCACGCCGACGAAGGTCATGAGAACGGCGACGCCGTCCGGGAAGTCGGTTAGGTTTGTTATGTCGCCCCAGACTTGTTTGGAGGGTGTGAATTTCGGGCTATTTTTTGTGCCGGTGGGGATCATGATGAGGACTGCGATCAGTGCCATGAAGTTGAATGTTGAGCCCCATGAGTTGATCTGCGCTACGCGCCTCGTGGGCATGCTGCTAATTCCGGCGTGCAGGATCATTATGAGGGTTGTTAGCAGGAAAGTCTGCCATGTTGTCGGGGTGTAGGATGGGTTGTAGACTGAGACTGCTGCGAGGATCATTGCGCTGAGTGAGTAGTTGACTGATGGCGCTGCGGTTATTTGTCCGATCCAGTTGGACCAGCCCGTGATCCAGGCGGCGAAGGGTCCGTAGCCCGGTGGTGCGAGGACTGCTGCGGCGTAGTATAGTCCGCCACTGTATAACACATTGTTAGCATTCCTTCAACCCTAACTTCTTACATGTGTTGGGGAATGTGTCATACCTAGTCGGCATCGCCGAACATAGCTCCGCCATCGACATTGCAATGCACTGGATGAATATCATCGCAATGATCCAGCCCCAGACCATACCCGCTGTGCCGGCGTATCCCATTCCTTTAATCCAATAAATATCAGCTATACCCTTTACCGAATTGTACACACACGGATCTTTGAGTACTGACCATAGTACAGTGTACTCGCAAACGACGGTAGCAAGCCTAGAACAGCAAAGCTGACACAGAATGTCGTCCATAGCGAGAACTCGCGCTTGAACTCTTGCTTATAACCCAGCGCCGTGATCACCCTCTCATCGGCATCCATATCATGATCCGTGTAGGGCACATCGCCGTCCGGGAGCACAGATGTGACTTGAGCATTGTTAGCCTCGTGGCGTCCTTTAGAGATGTCCGAAACAAGAGTTTGGGTCTCCATGCTTGCGCCCATGTCTAAGATCAACAGGCAAGCCGCTATTGATGAATGTATGCGATATATGTCAACGAAATAAAATGATAACCACACAAGAGATGAACAAGAATATCGTCACCTCGAGGAAGAGCCAAGAGAAATCGGAGTATAATAAGATAATACAGGATTATAAGTTATAAAGCAAGCTGACAGGGGGGAGCATGAGGTTATCTATGCATAGCACGGGGATTTTGCCTTTCGCCCCGCGCACTGAGGATCGCAAGAACCAACAAGACATGGGGTTCTGAACGAGTCGAAACAAGCCAAGCCAAACTTGGAAGAATAGATATCGGATATCGACGACTCAACATCATTGTACAACGAAGACTGGTGGCAAGTGAGGGGGAACGCCTTATGGAAGCTAGGCTGTCTCTCCGCAATGTACTCCTTTACAAAGATGCGCGATAAGAGAAAATTAACATGGCCGTTAATAGATTAAAACGAATATATTGAATCGCAGGATAATCAGATGCCTTATTCAATAATCAAGTACGGAGTATGCAAATCGTCTTACTCCGCAAGCTTGTGATTTGTCCAGACGGAAGATGTCACCGCTCATTGGAGGCAGAGGGCTTCGACGATCGGTACCACGAGCTTGGTCGAGAGAAATCTAGTCCCATTAGGGAAGCTCTAGGCGTTTTCAAGGGACTTCTGCCGTGAGAGAAAGTTAGGTGCAGCTGATGTATGTGGTTATCATCGTGATAACAGAGATAAGGTAAGGGTTAGACTCGTGTCTTCTGAAACTACCAGATCTGCTATTATCAGTTACTTGTTATCTACCTAGGTAAGGCTGTACCTGCCTTGTTGGGAAAAGAGACTCATTGAATGCTGTAAAACCTCTATTTCCAAGGTTTTCTATGTGCAACTATATATACCCGCTACTATCCACTGGCGGATTTTGCTAAATCGCCACTTTTATGAAGCGCTTAGGCTTAGGCTCACTGAGTAGATGTCACGGGCTCAGACTTGGGGGGAATATCCCAGTCGGTCACATGCAGAGTGACTGATGTCTAGTGAGTGCCAATGCTCATTCCAAGTCTTGGAGGTTGGCATCGGTAACTCTGGTGCACTATACCCAAAGTGGATTAGTCCATATAGGGTCGTTGATATTATCAGTTGGCAGCGTTGCTTCTATCCTACTTTTCTATCCTATTAAGCAAACGTGTTATAACTTCAAGGTATAAGGAGGATCTAAAGGCTCTACCAATTAAACGATGGGCTGGTCCCACGAACTTTACCAAGCAAACCTCTCGATATTAATATGTACGGCTCTCAATCCACAGGAATGGCCCTACTTGTGAGCTGTGGTTTCAGCACCAAGAGGATGACTGAACCTGTTTTGTGCTAGTGCGCGGAACTTGACAAGCGGCCTATCTTTAGCAGACACGTAGAAACCACCATCGACTTCTTTTCATGAAGCCCAAGGAGGGAAGAGCAGAGCCTAGTCGCCAGCACTCTCCAAGGATGAGACGATGGAACGTTGGAAGAGACATACCTGAGATGTTCCTAGTGGCCTTCGTCAGATGATCCAGTCCTCGCAAATAGGTTGGAAAAAAAGCTCGGTTTTGCAGACTGCTGGTAGGAGTATAGGGTTCTCAGCCGTATGATGGAAGGGAAAGTCGCTTATCGATAGTGTACAATCACACATAGGGACCATGCAAGACAGATTTACTTGGAAACAACTGTTTCTATGTGGTATTAAAAACAGAAAAGACTTTCATCGCTATTCTACAGTACAGCCCCAGCCTGAAACCCGAAAGCCTCGGTTCATATTGATCAAGGCAGACAGGTATATATCCCGGCGAATAATTTAGAAGGGCTAGGAGAAAGTCAGCATCGAGTCCAAAGCTCCAAATCAACTGTAATTGACTCACGTTGTCCTCGGGGGCGATGGTGCGGTCGTAGTAGGTATCGAAGAAAGGAAGCTTGCGGAGGATATCGTTGCGCACACGGGGAACCTCGCCGAAGATGAAGAGAGCACCGGAACCAAGGGCGACACCGAAGCCAGCAGCGACGGAACCACTGTTTAGAACGTCATTAGCATCTGTGTTTTGTTTAACCTGGGACAGTCGAATGCGGGATGTACTCACAGCTGGATGGCTGTGCCGAGGGTCATACCGGCGGCGGTACGGGGAATGTAGTACCTGCAGATTGATGATGCGTTAGCTTAGTGTTCTCGCTGCTTGTTTGATCTGCCTTCGATATCCAGCTCTTTTGTCACGGTCTGGTAATCTTCGCTCCCCACAGATATCAAACACCCGTCGAGCTCTGCGGCAAGAGGGGAAAGACGGGCATCCAATCAAGTAGGAAAGCAATGTTCAGCAGTGCAAGTACATGCTTCCTTCGCTCCATCCAACATGCTGATTATCGACCAATGGGTACTGTCCAGGGTTCGAGGGGAGATGATATGGGGGATCTCACTTGGGCGCATAGGCGGAGGCCTGGGCCGCGGCGCGGCGAGCAGTAGGGACGAACTGTAGGATATGTGTTAGCAATTGACATGACATCTTCTATCTCGTCTCATCCCGCGGCTCGGAAGCCGGTTGTGATACTCTTGGCCCGATTGTTCTCTACCCAGAGCGCGGCCGAGTAGGCAGGAACTTCGGAACAGTATGCGAGATTTTCTCATCTTTCGGGTGTGAGAGCACTTACCATCTTGAATTACACCGGAGTGATTTGGTGGGACAATTGCTAGGAGACAGGAGCTGGCACTTGGTGGTCGACGAAAACCGGGAGTCCCCGAGGTGGCACGTGACTCCAAAGCGAGTGGCCAATCAGAGTTGGCGTAATTGTTTTCGTTCAAGTATGAGTCTATAACTATCAACTCAATGACGGAGAAGTTTTCCTTGGAGTCCAGCTCAAATGAATTCGTCTTTTGTCTTCAATCCTCTGTTCTCTATGCTCTGGCTGGAAATTAAAGGAGATCAAATATTACACCTGGAAGATCGCACTGAGGAAAAGCCCAAAACGGATAGCAAAAGAGGAGGCACTTGAAGTAACCATGACTACTTGTTGACCAGAGAAACTAAAAGAAATTGATGCGTTCATTGACTTAGTCCTAGGAAGTCTTGCGGCTCCCGAGAAGCTGATACGCCTAGACTCCAAAAGCTCGTGTGAAGGCTGAAAAGAAATGGAATAAGATATGTGCTTCAAAAAACCCCTCGGTCTGACATGCAAGAAATTCAACTGAAACAGGATTGATCGAACAGACGCACGGAAGGAAAGCAGAAACAATCAAATACAGTGGAAACAAAAGATTATAAGGACCACGTAGCCAAACACCCTAACTGTACATTTGTCTCATTAGTCGACTTTGTCGGTCGAGCCTCCATTCAGGAAACCCTCCTTGCCGTCAAGGTGGAAGAAGCCACCGTTGTTGTTGGTAGGGTTGCCGATAATACCGCCGCGCGCAGTACTACGTCGAAGACGTCCACGTCCGAAGATGGTGGCCACAGCAACCACGGCACCCAGAATGATGAAAAAGAGGATGGGATGGCTGCTGAGGAGGGATCGAGCGAAGAATAAGATAGTCTCAAAGGTGCCGATGGTAGATTTGGGTGACAACTTGGAAGGGGAAGCGACGACGAGAGGAATGGTCTCGAGAATGGAGGTACGTGATGCCATGATAGGAGCTCCGCTTGAAGCGGTATCCCAGTAGCGGCGGTTCTATAGGAAGTCAGTTATAGTGCTCAAACAAATCCCACAAAGGGAGACTTACATCTTGGTCATTGATAATAACGCGGTCACCAGTTTCCACATCGATGCCGTAGGTTGTGCGCAGCCAGCGCTCCCAAAAGTCACCATCGACCCAAGCAAATGCGACCTGCTTCTTGTCATCCTCGCGGATCGTAATACGCATGTTCTTCGCAGCCCGCAGTGCACGCTGGTCATTGCGGTCATCGGCTTCTTCGATACGCAGTTGCTTGGAGTCACGAAGTTCGGCTCGCTCAAGGCGGAACAGTTGAACCTGCTTATCCATCCATTCAAGGGCGGCTTCCTTCAGCTCACGCTTGGACTGCTTGAAATCATCGCTACGGCGACGGCTGAGGAGTCCCAGAACCACGAATTTTCCGTCCATGATTTCTTGAGCATTAGATGCGGTGAGCTCAGGTACAATGGGCAGCCACACGGTTTGCATCCACGACAGAATCTGACGGAAATCTCTCATGTCCTTAGGAGCAAGGGCATTGTAGTAGTTGGGACGTCTGTCACGGACAACCAGAAGACGAGGCCAGGTAGAGATCTTGAACCGCTCGGAAAGAGCAGCACTGTCAGACTTAACAATGCGAGCGTGTCCCACGAGACTAAGGGTGAGGCGGTTCATGGCCTCAAAATCTTCAGATGTGGTCGCGTGGTCGTAAAGATACAGGAACAAAACCTCTTCGGTTGTTTCCAACTCCTTAAAAGTAGTCGCGTCAACATCCTGAATGCTCGAACCCACACCGACGGCTTTGTTGGTGTACGCGATCAGATCTCCCAAGCCACGAAGACCGGTATATTCAACTCTCTCGCCGCCACGGAAGAAGTAGATCGTCGGATAGGCATTCACGCGAGCATCTTCGCACAGTCGCTTCTCAAGTTCGCAGTTCACTTCGCCAACATTGAGAGTATCCTTCATCTCCTTGGCCATCGAGTTCCAGTTCGGGGCTAGAGCCTGGCAATGGTGGCACCAAGGAACATAAAACTTGATGATCCAGGGGTCATGGGTAGTCGTGACAAGACTTTGGAAACTCTCCGCAGTGAGCGGGATAGAAACACCCTGGGGATTAGCAGGCCGTCCTTGGAGCTTGGCCTTGACAGATTCAGGGCTAACGCCTTCCAGTTCCGCGGTCTCAATGCTCTGCTTCTCGACAGCCGTTTTTGCGCCAGGCTTTACCACTTCAGGTCTGGCAGTCATTTCCATGCTCTTAGCGCCGACCTTCGGGATTTGGACGCCTTGGGAAGGTCGGGACCCAGGTTTAATCGTCTCGAGCTTGGCTTCAATCAAAGCACCAATCTCTGACATCGTCTTGGCACCAACAGGGGGTCCGTTCTGAACGCCCATATCATAGAACGCCCACGCGGGGAAAAATTCGACGTTCATCTTCTTGCAGAAATCGCCGAAGGCCAGGCAGTTTATGGACCCGAAATGGAGATTGTAGTAGCCAGTGAAGGAGTCCAGGGACGCGAGCTCACCGGGCTTCACTCCGGAGAGGAATAAGGGATTTGAAGTCTATCACTAATCAGATCGAAGCCTCAAAAGGGTCAGGACAACGGAATCAAGACTCACGTAGTAGTACTCATATAGAGTTTGGTACATTGGGGCGGCCGTCCGGCAATGCGGGCAAGAGGGGGAATAATGTTTGATCATCCTAGAATAGTTAGAGTCTTGAGGAGTTTATTGTCTCGTGCATAAGGGGTCCTCACCAGTAAACATCTTTGGTCACTTCCTCGAAATTCTCCGGGGTCAGCTGCCGCAACGGAGGCACTTCAATATCGTTGAATATTGTAGGTGTGTCGGGATCCACTCCACGAGCCCCCCTTTTAACAAGTGTATCTCCGGATTCTTGGTCGGAGGAAGCATCTGAAGGTGTGCCCAAAGCAGGCGCTACCAACAGTGAGAGGAGGGACCACCCCAACCAGGACGGTTTCATTTTGGTGGAAGAGAAGAGGTGAATAACCTGTGTAAGGGTTTAAAGGAGAGTATAGGTAGTTTCCAAGATGTGTCACAGCTGAGCAAAACGAAGGACTTTGGTCGAAAGTAGGGAGGATAGCCGCGAAATGTTACAGGTGGCACATTGGACGGGGGCGAAGCGAAGACTGGCGACTCGGGTGGGCACTGGTCACGTCGCAGAAGGAAACAGCACTTAGCGACTATAGCGCCCAGTAGCTGAGAGCAAAATAGAACTGCACACAGCCCAAACAAAGAACTGGATGTGAGGCTTTGATGGTATCGGGAAAAGGTGAGTTGGTGCCTTTCCCCTTGCCGTTTGGGTGGACATAAGGTTAATCCGATCCGGGCCGACTTCAACACTTCATCTCCCTGAAATATAGCAGCTTCAATACCACCAAACTCATTCACAATGCGCTCTACACTTCGGCTACTGGCCAATGTCAAGCCCCGGTATTTGGAGCCTTTTGCTCCTACCGGATTGACGGGCCTTTTCACCCACCCCAGCCCTCGCCCTACTTTAATTTACCTTTACTCGACTACTCTGCAGAAGTTGCAGGCGTTCCCCGAATCCTCCGCCTACCGCCAATCCGTTGAAGCTTTGACCCGCCACCGTCTCCAGGTCATTGAATCGCAAAAGCCCGCCGGATTCGATGCCTGGTTGGAGCGTGTGCGGAAGGTCGTGGGATCCGAACCCGAGCGGTTCGCTAAGGTCCAGCGCACCGACGGCTCCTACACCCATGCCGCTGCCCAACAGAAGGATGGAACCGACAACGCTCGCGGTGAAGAATGGGATGGTGAAGGCCTCTCGGCCACGACTGAGGGCCCCCACCGTACCCCGCAACAGGAAGCGGAATGGGCTAAAATCATGAAAGAGGCCAGTGAGACCACCGACAAGGCCGGGCATGACTTCTACCACCAAGATATGAAATGGGAGAGCGAGCCTGCCCTTGATGCCGACCAGTACGTGTACCTACATCTCCGAATCGGCCTGGAACAGTCAGGTAATGGAACGCTAACCTCCTACGAAGGGTCTCTCACGTTGAACAGCAAATCGGCGCCGGCCTTATTGAGGAGATCATCCAGGTCGCAGAGACAGAGCTCAAGCTTGTGGATGAGTTGGCCAAGGCTAAGGTGTAAGTGGAAATCCAAAATTCGGGTCTGGACTTGCTGCTGACACTTTCACAGGTGGGAGGAACTTGAGGAGAAGCCTCGACCCGGCCAGTGGAGCTACTTCGAGCGTGGCAACTAAACAGCGATTCTGGAATTGCTGTGAATTTTAATCTCTGTAACTACTACTAGAGGTCTCTTTGTTCGAATACATGTTTTGAGAGTTCAATCATCTGAGGTTTAGGGTTGGTTGTAGAGTTACTAAGTTATAACTTGTGTATTCGATCGATACAACGATATGACCAAGTTGAATTTCTCTTTGGAGTTAGTTGGTGCAACTAAGGCATCTTCCTAGTATAAGTATACCCTCTGATAGAGGTCATTGGGTTTCTAGTTCCAATTCCGAGTTTATACATCAGGGCGATGATTATGTACCGGGAAGCATATCGAAAGTATTTCCATTCCTTTTTTTGTCCAAATTCTTCCTTGCACTAATCTTACATTTCGATAGTCTCACACAGCAAATCTACATAGCTTCCTTCATCAATGTAAATGAATGTGTAGGACATTTGTATAGCGGACCGAGTGGAAGGCGGTGAGCCAAGGCGGGAATCCCTTGTGGACACATACATTGCTGTCCCTGAATGAAGCGCTCTCCCTCTAGCTCTCCTTCATCTCAATCCTTTCTTAATTCCTCCAATTAATAACTTGCTCCGAGGATCGCTCCTCCCTATCATCGGGCTGTCTGAGCGGCTCGCGGAATCCCATATCGCTGTCACAGGCCCAACACCGCATCACACAAACACTTGTCTCATCCCCCACACAACATGCGGCTCGACGTCAAGGTACGCAAATACAGATGATGAAATGCTTCATATAGTTGCAGGTCTGCTCT